TGAAAAAGGTGAAGGTTATAGTCAATGATGCTGTAGTGAGTGTGCACGGCGGCAGATGATCACTTGACTTGGTTGGGTGATCACATTGTAAGGTATGCAAATGTCATCGCTATGTTATACACCTGAAGCTAATATAACTTAATATAATACTGTATACCAACTATACTTAAATAAAATAAATGTTCAAAAAAGTTGCTGCAAAATACATATAGTATGATTCCAATTATATGAAGTTCACAAATAAAAATTAAATGATATTGCTTAGGGGTGACTAGATATATGGTAAAACTATAAAGAAAATGCTTAACACAGTTCTGGATGATGGTTACTCCTGGGTTGTGGGGGAAGAGAGCTGGAGCTTCGGAGACGCTAGACCTTCTGTTTCAGAAGCTGGTTGAAGGGTCCATGGGTGTGTGATTGCTTTTTTTAAAATCCTCACCTGAGGACATGCTTAGAGAGAGGAACGGGGAGAGAGAGAAACACTGATGTGAGAAACATTGATCGGTTGCCTTCAGTACGTGTCCCGACTGGGGATTGAACCTGCAACCCAGGTATGTTCCCTGACCCGGAACTGAACCTGCAACCTTTTGGTGTACAGGACGACACTCCAACCAACTGAGTCACCCAGCCAGGCCATGGAGCTATGATTTTAACTCAAGTGTATGACTGTGGGTCCCCAGTAAATTCTACTGAGGGAATCGAGCAAGTTCAGCGTGAAGACAGGTGATGGGACAGTCTCGGCTGTCTGTGAATTAAATGGTAGATAGAGCTGGTTCTGCGTTGTGTACTAGAAACCTCAGGAAGACAGACTGCATATGGGAGAGATGTTTTAGTGACTGGGTCTCCAGCTTGCATCCCTTCACCGCGGTACCCGGCCTCGCAATGCTGGAGGTGCTCAGTGACTGCTGAGGGAAGTGAGGACATGGTGAGCGTCCCCATCACTGCAGCTGCCCAGACGGCCCAGACCCTGTGTGTGTCTGTCTGCTCCACCCAGAAGACTCACAGTGCTGGTTAGGAAGTTGGACTAAATGCCCCAAGGCCTTTTCAACAAACAGGAAACTCCACCTACCTGACCCTAGACAGAATTCTTAGCCCAACAGTAAATGTATTCCAACCGAATAGCTTTGGGAAGTCTATCCCAAAGTCATTATAAAAACAAGACTCAGTTTCTTTTCAGGCAGGACTCTCATTTTTCCCTGCTCTATTGCTAGCATCTGTGTATACTACATTGCATGTGCCAGTCTGTGTGGGATGTTTGAGGAAAGAAAACTGCGGAAAGGGCACCCAAGCCAGGGATTGTCACGGAGACGGGACATAATCAGGCTGCAAGGAAGTGCTCTCTGGCTTGTGGTTTTGTGACTGTTCATTGCCCTACAGGTTTTGAGTACTAAAAACAAATCTGTTTGACTTTTAAAAAATAAGCTTTGGTTTTCATTACCAGGTACACAAAGAGTGGCACATCTTTGCACATGCCACTGGTTAATTGTCATGAGCGCGACCAAGATGCACCTTATGTACCTGACAGATTACTACAATAAATGCTCTGTATTGTATATGTGTTCAACAAACCCTTGAGTTGGTGACCTCAAAGAGATGCAAAGAATTTCAGTTGGATTTTTGTGCTGACTCAGTTGTGTCCCCACAGACCAGAGTGAGCTCCGAGCAGGAACACTTCCTCATTGTACCTTTTGGGCTTCTCTACAGTGAAGTGACTGCATCCAGCCTGGTAAGAATGTCCTTTCCCTCTTGGGCTTCTTGAATGTGTACGTCACGCTATTTAATTAAGCCCCTTGTACCCCGTTAGACATAAAATCCAAGGAAGAAGAGAAACTCAGTGTTTTGTGTGAATAAAAAAGAATAACCCACAAAAAAACCCTTTAAAAGTAATTATAAACACTTTTAAGTTTGGTTTAAGTAATTTTTAGTTAGGGTAATTTGAAGTCCTCTTGACATTAATTTTTGTTTTCTTATTTCCAGGTGAAAGTCAATCTGCAAGGAGATGTTGTGGACCGTGGAAGCACTAATCTAGGAGTAAACCAAGCTGGCTTCACGCTGCACTCTGCAATTTATGCTGCGCGGCCGGACGCGAAGTGTGTGGTTCATATTCACACGCCAGCAGGGGCTGCGGTGAGTGTGGTGCTCCTGGCGCAGTTTGAGAGCTGTTTATTGAGAGGCTTTGCACATTTCCCTAGAAGTGCCTCTTGTTGCAATAAGTCCGTAAACCTAACTTTTTTGGATGAAAAAAATTTTTACTAAGTTTGACTTTCTTTTTTTTAAAAAAATGTGTCTTTATTGATTTCAGAGAGAAGAAGGGAGAGGGAGAGAGAGAGAAACATCAATGATGAGAGAGTCATTGATCAGCTGCTTCCTGCACCCCCCCCCGCCCCCACTGTGGATCAAGCCTGCAACCCCAGNCTGGGGATCAAGCCCGAAACCCGGGCATGTGCCCTGACCAGGAATCGAACTGGAATCTCCTGGATCCTAGGTTGATGCTCAACCGCTGAGCCACACCGGCCAGTCAAGTTTGACTTTCTTAAAAGACTTTTTCTTTTAAGGGGTCCATATACTGAGAAACCCGTGAGTCTGAAATGCCCATTAGATTTACAAATTAGAAAATTATAGCGTGTTAACGGTGGAGGTCAGATTTCAGTGTGTTCAACACTGTTGGGAAATGCAGAACGATAGCAGCAAACTAGAGTCCTTGTTTGAGAAGAGGGAAGGCAGGATGGATGGTAGTTAAGGGTGCCTGCCGTGGGCTCAGGGAAGGGTTAGTGGGGTGCAAAGGATTGGAGTGTGCTGGTAGGCTGTGGGGGAGGAGCCAGCAGAACCTGGGCTGGATCATGACTGAGAGTCAGAAGAAGGCAGTTGGGGCAGGAGGGCACAGTGGTGCGGGCTGTGGAGAGCTGGCCTCCAAGCCCCCAGCCCCCAGGGGTCTGCCCCAGCCCATTACCCGGCTGTGTCCTGCTGGTGCGCATGGGGCACCCTGACAAAGCCCAGACCTCTCGGTGTGAAAATGCGCATTCTGGTTGCTGGTGCAGTCCTGTGAAAGCAGAACACTCTAGAACTGTCTAGAGTTGGCTTTTTATCACCAGTCTTACACTTTAGTGACATCATGGGCTTGTTTGTGCTGTAGATGACCTCGTTGAGTCAGTAATGCCGAACTTCACCCTCCTGATGTTTTAATGTCATGTGTGTGGATTTGTTTGGATGAGGGACAGACCTGGTTTATTTTACTTTGAAGATGTGGTTCGTGGTGTAACATCAGTTTTATTAGGTATGTCACTCTGAAGGGTGGAACTTTCCTAAAACCCAAGAATTGTTGGAGGCCCCTCTGAGAACATGGTCACAAACAGCTACCATGTACTTTGTTTCAAAATTACCAAAACTTTACTTTGTAAGGAAATTTCTTCTTGTAGGTAAGGACATTTCTTAAAGCTGGTACTGCGAAAGGAATGAAATATGGTGTTGCCTTTTCTGTGGTACTGTCTTTTTAGATTAACTTTCCTGCATGGAATTGTTACACCTGCAAATACTTGATTCTTTGCATCTGTTAATCTAGATAGAAGACCTTCAAAATGAGCAAATCCTAAAGTCAGTTTGGGAAATTTAAGGAAACTTAAAGGCCATATGAACAGTTCAGTTTTCTTTTTTTAAACTTAAACAAATATAAGGAAGTTGCAGAGTATAATTTTCCTAAACTTTTACAAATTTGCCTTTTTCTGATTTTCAGGTGTTTTGAGGTGTTTTGGTCCCACCTACAGCCTAAGATGAGAAGCACACACAAACCCTAGAGGACTGCGTGCCCGCTCACTCAGGGGGGCCGTGCCTGTCCTGCGTTGGGTCGGGCTCACCTTGTCATTAAGTCTGAGCTCACACAGTTTATCATCCGTGTGGAGAAAGCCAGAAAGATGCGGACTTTCTCTTGGGCTCTCCCAGCTGAGTGATAGCTTGCCTTTCTAACTGTGCATTGGTAGTAAGCCCCAGAAGTAACATTTTTTTTAAAGCTCATGGGTTCATTTATTTCTGAGAAGAGAACAAAAATTGGTTCTGCTCCCCGTTTTACCTCTTGGAGGAAAGCCTTTGCCGTGTCTCCATCAGCGTGTGCCATCACTGAGCGTGACTACTTCTTTTTTAGGTCTCTGCGATGAAATGTGGCCTCTTGCCCATCTCCCCGGAGGCGCTGTCCCTTGGAGAAGTGACTTATCATGATTACCACGGGATTTTGGTTGATGAAGAGGAAAAGGTTTTAATTCAGAAAAATTTGGGACCTAAAAGCAAGGTCAGTGGGCATGTAACCCGGTATTTAAATAATGGAGGGAAGGAGAGGGTGGAAGTGTCGGGGTCCTTGTCTCACCCCATGGGGCTTTCACGTTTCCCGCCAGGCCCTCATTCTCCGGAACCACGGGCTGGTGTCCGTCGGCGAGAGCGTGGAGGAGGCCTTCTATTACATCCACAACCTTGTGGTTGCCTGTGAGATCCAGGTAGGTGGTGCCCTTCTGCCCGCGGTTTACTTAGCTGTCCAGGGTCCCCTAGACCTCTGACACTGGTTTCGCAGGGATGAGTCTTTGAGTAACCTCTTTGTCAAATCTGAGCTCATGATGTGGAAATCAACCAGGGCAGATGTTGTTTCACTGATTAGGTTGGCAAATAGTTGTTTTTTATTTATGGAGCACTAGTGTGTACCAGCCCTGGTGTCAGGTGCTTTACTGTGTTATTACCTGGGACTCATTCAACCCTCATGGTACTCCTTTTGAAAAAACAGGAGCAGAGAGCTAGAGACATGCCCACAGTCTCACGGCTGTAAGTGCCACGTGTGCCAGGTCTGCTCGGCCCCAAGTTTGTTTTTCTCACTGTTCCCTGACTTGTGTCTGTGTAGCAGTGTGGTTCCCATTCTGCCTCAGATGCTCTTGAAAAGTACTTTATTTTTCATTTCTCCTCCAAGGAGATGTGCCCAATATTTTTGTCAGGCTAAAGAAAAACTTCTGAAAATCTTGTTTTTTAAAAATTTACTATGTATTTATTCATTTTAAAATTAATTGATTAATTTTTAGAGCGAGAGGAAGGAGGGGAAGAGGTCACCGAGAAGGTGGAAGGAGCAGTTGATTCTTATATGTGCCTGACTGGCAATAGGACCCGAAACCTTGGTGTATTGGGGCGATGCTCTAACTAACTGAGCCACCCGGCCAGGGCTGAAAATAACCTTGCGATTCGTCTATCACTGTCCATCCTACGTTTTCCATTGGTAGACTCAGTGACTCGTTCTTTTGAAATGTACATCTCTGTTTATGTGATTTCTCACAGTCATCCGATCCCCGTGCTCTCAATAAGGAGCTCAGACTGTAATGTTTGCTTGTTTTGAAAAGGTTCGAACCCTGGCCAGTGCAGGAGGGCCAGATAACTTAGTTCTCCTGGATCCTGGGAAGTACAAAGCCAAATCCCGTTCCCCAGGGCCCCCGGCAGGGGAGGGCACTGCATCGCCTCCCAAGTGGCTGATTGGTGAGCAGGAGTTTGAAGCCCTCATGCGGATGCTCGATAACCTGGTAAGAATGTTGTTACCACTTGACCATAAAGGTTTCCTTCTAAAGCACAGATGTTGGTGTTTTTAGGGCCAGTGAGTAGTGTTTTGGAGTTGCTGTCCTCATGCAGTATCTGAGCGCTTGCACCTGAAAAGTCACCAAGCAGCACCAGTTTAACTTCTGAGCTAAATCACAATAAAGTACAGAGTGAGGAGTTCTTGTCTCACTTTGTTTTTTAAAGATAATCTTGTTTGGATTTTGTGGGGACAAAAGTCCAGACACGGCTTGCCCTACCCCAGGCTGCTGGGTAACACCCCTGGTGTAGAGGGTGGCTCAGCACCCTTCACCCCACAGTCACGCTTTCCAGGGAACTTTCTAAAACAACCAGCAAGTGTTTTTTGTTGTTTGTGTTAACAGTAAGTTCTAGCTGTCTGGGGGCCAATTACTGTGTTCCACAGACGTCTGTTGCCGATTCATTGTGTGGGAGACCCTTGTCCTGACTGCAGGGACCACGCCCAGCAGTATAGATGCTGCCTGTGGAGCTCTGGCATGACAGGGATTCTGCATGTGCACGGCAGGGTGCTGTCTCTGCTGGGGGTTTCGGTGACAACTTTATCCTTTTGCAGAGATCAGGGAGAATACTTTAGGTAGAAAATAACACTGGAAATGACCTTAGAGGACAGGTAGAAACGTGACGGGCTGAGTTGGGCAAAGGAGGGCATCATGGCAGAGGCTGCAGCAGCACTGAGGACACAGCAGTGGGGATGGGAACATGCCTTTCAGGTCATCTCTGATTTTTCAGGGTCTTTAGTTACTCAAAACAAGGCTTGTAGGGTCGGAGCCACCACCATTGTGAGACATACGGCTCTGTAAGGGGCCCTTCCATGCTGTGCTGTCACCTCTTAAGGTGGGCTTCGGGAGAGCCCTTCCTACTGGGGGCCGTGAGGACCTGTCGTGGCCGTGTGGACAAGGGAGCCCTAGGAAGGGCTGCAGTCCTTGGGTGTTGTGGGGCTGTTCTGGGTGCTCTAGAAGGCAGCACCGGCCCCAGTGGGACACCTTTCAGCCTCACATAAGAGAGTCCTGGCTTGGAATAGGTCACAGACGGGATGAATGGCTGCAGGAGGTTTAACTTTCCTGAAGACTTTGAAACACAAAGAATTTATGCGTCTGATTCAGGGTGTGCTCAGGGGCTAAGTGTCCACAGGAGTAGATTCTGCCAGTGAGGGAGCAGTGGGTAGAGTCTTCCATAACTTCTGAACTCATTTGCTCAGTAAAGTTGAGTCGCATTAACTGACCATTTGCTCTTGAGCCTGTAGCCATGAACAGGATGCGGTTCTTGCCCCAGTCAGGGAAATGGACAAACCAGTCGCAGATGCAGCCCAGCACCCGCGGTCTGTGCCCTGGCAGAGCGTGATGAGCAGTAGGGCGGACGTGTGGGCCAGGATTGGTCAGGGAAGCAGGAAGGGGATCAGGTCACCGAGAAGCTGGAAGGAGCAGTTGGAGTCAAGAGGCAGACAGGGTAGTGCAACCTTTAGAAAGACACAGCTGGAGAAGGTTTGGGGGAGGGGTGGGCAGCGGTGGCCCAGGCGGCAGTACTGGGAGTCAGACACCTTGGGGGCCAGGCACTGTGACCGTTGCTGGGCTGGCCCAGTCTTAGAGCGGCCTCCTCTCCCCCTGGCAAGTATTTTGACGTTTCATTCTCCTGTACCTCAAAGTCACGTGGGAGGCAGGAGAGAAGACAAGAATCCAGATGAGCAGCAAGCCATCTTGTGCACTCAGAGCGCTCTGGAAAGTGTGGGGAAATACACACGAGGCAGTAGGTCTGGTGGGATGGGAGGAAGCTAGAGGATGGAAGGCTGAGCTGTTCCTCACAGCAGGTTGCTTCATTCAGTGTCCTTCACATGCCCAGATTAACGTTACTGTTTCTGATATTACAGGCCATGTGCTTCGTAAGAAATGAACTGGACAGCAGCCACTGATCACAGTCCAGTTAGTGTTCTGATCAGTCCTATGTTTGCTAGTCACTGAGTAGGGTGGAGAAAAGCTGTAGATCCTCACACTGTGCAAGAGAGGTCGTTTCAGCACATACGCAGAAGATNGTTTGCTAGTCACTGAGTAGGGTGGAGAAAAGCTGTAGATCCTCACACTGCAAGAGAGGTCGTTTCAGCACATACGCAGAAGACATGCTAAGTTGTCTCCCACAAAATCAAGACACAGTGCTTTTCTCAAGGAAGGAAGGGATCCATACTTTTAACTAAGCGTTATAGTAGGTCTGAGGTCTGTGTTTTGCCTCTGATTTTGGTTTGAAACCATGTAAAGCAAGAATAAAGACCAGACCCACACCTGTGAGGGTGAAATCTGTCGAGTCCTGGCTGGTTTATCCTGAGTTGCGGAGATTGCTGAGTCCTGGCTGTCTAAGCAGGAGGAAACTTGAATTAATAAGAACTTTGTTTTTCTGAAGACAAACTTCCTATAGCTGAGTCGTTATCTTTTATTGGTCCTCAACGGAGCGTGAGCTTGCTCATAAATGGAAATGGCCAGTGCAAACATCCGCTCTCTTCCTGAGGACAGTTATGAAAACAGCCACCAACAACTCCACTTAGGGATTATTGCCTTCCTTTTTTTTAAGGTATTGAAGGAATGGTTGGTAAGAAGGTGGCCCTGTAAGGAAAAGAAGCTCCCAGAGGGGGAGTCCCTGGATTGTGAGGAGTGTGAATGTTTCTGCAGGATCGGCCAGCAGAGTGCAGGCCACACCTCCTGTGAGCAGCCCTGTAACCCTCTCAGGTCTTAATGCTCTGTGCTCCTCATGAAGCTGCTGTGAGTGACTTGGTTCAGAGATGAAGCTGTGGCTCTGCTGTGCAGGGACAGCAGAGCTCGCAGGCTGTGCTGGCTGGCCTGGGTTCTCAGAAGGCTTGGCTGGGGGGGCCATGTCTAGGCTCCGGCGGTGGGCAGAGTTCATTTTCCTACAGCTGCAGCAGTCATGGCAGCTTGCTTCCTCAGAGCACAGAGATCCTCAGGATGGGCGCCACGCTCATAATGCGCCCTGTCACCTTTGCCAGTCCACTGGTTAGAAACAAGTCACAGGGAGCCCACAGTCCAGCAGGGAGGGCACCACAGGCCACCTTAAAGTCTGTCTGCCGTACCACCAAGTGCTAAGCATAGGGTATAGGGTAGGAGGTGTGTACCCCACCCTCGCCTCGGGAATGCTGCCTGTGGGGTGAGCAAACAGGCTGGTTGAGCCCAGGGGACGACCCAGTGGTAGCACAGAGGCGAGGGTCAGGGGACACGTTTCACAGCAGAGTAAGTGCTGTGAGGCAGAGTCGAGGGTTGAACTTGAATGTCTGAGTTAGAGTCAACGGTAAAGTAATTTTGCCAAGAAGAACCAGTTGTCATGAGACATACTTGTTCGTTCTTCCCTAGAGTTTATCACAGCATCTAAACTGACTTCAGTGGTAAAAGTATTAAGTAGGTTAATTAGTATAACCTGTACTGCAGCCAGCAGCAAGTAAGCCTGTTTTTAAAATATTTTTTAACTTGTTATTGAAATACAATAAACAGGAGAGTATACCTATTTAAGTATTCAGTTTATTAGTTTTAAGAAACTGAACATACTGTGTAACCAGCACCCAGATTAAAAACCAGCACCTCAGAAGCCCGTCTCCTCTGTGAGTTGCTTCCCCGTCCTTAGGGCTTCGCCGTCCTGTCTGGTGTAAATGGGATAAGACAGCACAGCTTTTCCCACTTGGTGTCTTTCACTTGGCGGCATCCTCAGGTTGCACCTGATGTAGAGATTAATTTCATTGCTGTTTTCTAGCCCATGGTGAGCACACCGCATGCCGCTGTTGGTGGACTTCTGGGCTGGTTCCAGTTTGGTCTGTCAGGAGTGGGGCTGCTGTCGGCATATAGGGCCTTTGTTCTGGTGAAGGCATTTGGTTGGGCACGTGCCTAGGAGTGGAGTTGCTGAGTCACGGTATGCGTGTGTCCAGCTCCTGTGTGTTTCCGCACAGTGTGGAACTCTGTTTTGAGACGTGGAATACTGACTGTCTTTCACTCTCTTTGGACTCTAGGGTTACAGGACTGGCTACCCTTACCGATACCCGGCTCTGAGAGAGAAGTCTAAAAAATACAGCGATGTGGAGGTTCCTGCTAGTGTCACAGGTTACTCCTTTGCTAGTGACGGTGATTCGGGCACTTGCTCTCCTCTCAGACACAGTTTTCAGAAGCAGCAACGAGAGAAGACAAGATGGCTGAACTCTGGCCGGGGTGACGATGCCTCTGAGGAAGGGCAGAATGGAAGCAGCCCCAAGTCGAAGACTAAGGTGTGGACGAACATTACACACGATCACGTGAAACCCTTGCTGCAGTCTCTCTCGTCCGGTGTCTGCGTGCCAAGCTGTATTACCAACTGCTTGGTCTGTGCCTACCTTACTGTTCATAGTTAGATGATGTAGAGCAAGTTGGGGAGCTGGGGCCTCGGAGGCTTTGGGAACCAGCCCTGCTGACCAGTTTAAGGTGAACAATCCCATTAACCTCTGTAGCCGAACCCACATCCACTTCATGCGTCAGCCGTTAAACAAGTCATACTGTCTGCTTGAAACTGCCTAAGATACATGGTCCCTGTCCAGTGATTGCAACTTTACGTAATTGCATACACAGCCAAAGTCCCAACTAATGTGTATTAACCTGAACCTAGGAGCTGCCGTTTAGCTCTCATTGTACTTGAGGAATCTTAATACTTCACCCAAAGGCAGTTCAGTCACAACCCGCTTGTTCAGTGTTGTGAACTCCAGTGGTTTCAGTAAGTTACTGAATCTGGTTTTGAACGTCTAGTGTTTTCTTAGGCAGTTTCCCCTCTGGGCTCACGGTGTTTTCTCTGCTGGCCGGGTCCTCTTGTTAACATCCCCCCTGCTTCTGTCCCAAAGCCTCCGAAAGCTCTCAGCAGCTGCCTCCTGCATGGACTGTTGCATGTGAGTAGACGGCCATTGGGGAGAGTCTCCTGACTCCTGCCGGGTGCGGCATGACCCAAGTGTGGCGCAGTCCACCGCAGATGGCTGCTGCCAGCGCTCTTCACGCCTGCAGTCACCGGCCCCGAGCCATCCTCGAGGTCCTGGCACTCAGACACTCTGTGAAGATGGTCTTCATGGCCCCTAACCTAGCCTGTGATAGCCCCTCCTCCTTAGTGGAGTCTTGTGAGCACATGGAGGCGGGGACAGACCTACCTCTGCATGACCAGTTCTGTAGTGCAGATGAAATGAGCTCAGACATGTGGGCACCCAGTAAGCAGACGGGGCCTCCTACCCCCTCATAACAGTGCTCTTACTTTATAGACGTATCAAAAAGAGAGTCTTGTCCTGCAGGCGGTTCTGGTTTTCCTGATGCACAGTTGGTGAGAGCACCTCTGTGCCCCTAAACCAACGTGCCACCCATGCGAGCAGAGGTTCAGTGTTTGAGCCCGTCTTTCCTCCTTCCTGCTGCCCGCCTTCGCACCCACCTCCTTTCTCTCTGTCCCTCTGTCCCTTTTTTCTTTTTTTGTGCCGTTTCGCTTTTACTGACTTTACTTGTTAAAGGGAGTGGGCCTGAATGACTGCTGCTGTCAGTGCACGGTGCCGAGTGCTGTGCGGAGTTTTTCCGAGGCGTGTGTGTAGCAGCAGCTTTGAGCTACATGTACTATTAGCATGAAACAGTGTGAAGTTATTCGGGTGTGATAGTCAGTGCTGGCGTGGAGGGAGGCCTTGGCCAGCATTGGAACGTGTCTCTTGTTGTGGAGTGACACAGCCGTGCGTGCTCCAGGTTGGTATATTCACTTACAGTCCTTGTTTCACGTTTGCAAACGCGGTCAAGCTCCTGAGATTGCTGTTTTCATGTTTTGACTGAAAATTATCTTTAGTGAAAGGCTGGAGTGGTTTAATCGGAAGATAACGTCAGTGAGTACCCCCTAGCTCTTCGCCCATCGCACCCCTCACAGTGGCTGAGCATCCGCCGCTCCTGTTGCTTTCTTCCAGGTCTTACGTTTATGGCTCTCTTAGTGCCTCATGAAAATACTCTGAAAAGCATAACATTTGCTCTCTAAGGTGGGCTTGTTTTAATGCTCAGTGCCTACTCATGCCTCAGAATGACAATGTGATTAAAAAGGTCATATTTGATTGGAGATAAAAATAAAAAAGGGAAAGGCAGGGTGCTGGCAACATGCACCGATACCTAAGACAGCCTCCTAGTAAGGGCCGCAGCGCTTCAAGTGCATTTGGGATATTTTTGTAACACTCAAAGTGCGAAGTTATGTAAAATATTCGACATCACCAAATCTTCCGCCAGGCGCATAAGCATTCATTCATTCAGCGACTTTCTTGGGTTGAAATAGCTACGCAAACAGTGCCTTCTGATGCTGCAGTTTATTTTAATGCAGAACTTTGGTGATGCCCACTCTTGCCTTCCAGTTCCGTCTTCCCTCCCTCTGGGTAGCACGTCACATTGCTTTCCATGACCCTGTCATCTCATGCTTCCAGCTGGCTTTGGTGTTGACGACGCTCAGAGCGGTGAACCAATGTGCTCTGAAGGGTCCCCACTGGCTCTTCCACGGGAGTTATGGGCACAGCTCTGTCGTCAGCCCGTGTCAGACCCTAGATTTCAGCCGGGCTTTCTAAATGGCCCTGGCCTGTCAGTCACGCCTCTGGCTTCCGCCATTCCTGGCTTCTGTCTGGACATGCCCCCTACCCCGTCTGGCCCCCGCAGTGGCACAGGAGTGTGGTCATTGGTTCATCCTCTGTGATGCTCAGTGCATGACCAGGTGTGAAATAAGTTGGACAGATTGGGTGCTACGGTGTCGCTTGTTGCTGTCCCATTTTTGACATTTCAACTCTTCTTGATGTTGCAGTGGACTAAAGAGGATGGGCATAGAACCTCCACCTCTGCTGTCCCTAACCTGTTTGTTCCGTTGAACACAAACCCGAAAGAGGTCCAGGAGATGAGGAACAAGGTGCGTGGCGTGTGCGGGGGGCGGAAGCTGCAGGGGTGGACGGGGTGCTCGCTGCTGCGGGGCAGAGCGTTTGCTCCGGTCGAGGATTCTGCCGCCACCACTGTTACACCTGAGGCTGCTCTGCGCGGCTTCTGTCGTGCTAGCCGCGTGTGAGCACAGGCAGCCGGAGCCTGTGGTTCCTGAACTGGCCATTACACAGTGGGCAGAACTGCAGTTTGCAAAGCCTTTGCCCTGCCTTTCAGGGTTCAGTGCAACACTGTGAACATGTAGTGTATCAGAACAGGGGACCCACCGTGTTCCTAGTGTCCCGATAAGATGGACACATGGGGAGTGTTCCCCTCGAGTGAGCAAGCGCTTTCCCAAGTCTCCCAGAAGGGGAAGGGTGTAGGAATGGGCCTTGCTCCCATCAGACCCACCCAGTACTGAGTGGGCGTGACCAGCGCCATCCAGCAGGCAGGGTGGTCATGCAGGACCAGCGGGGGCAGGGGCAGGTGGGAGGCCTGGCTGGCAGGTGGCTGTGGGGCCTGAGTCCCAGTTCTGGTGAGGTGTCTGTGCTGTTGATGTGTGTTTCTCCTTCTTGCCATCCTCAGATCCGAGAGCAGAACTTACAGGACATTAAGACGGCTGGCCCCCAGTCCCAGGTTTTGTGTGGTGTAGTGATGGACAGGAGCCTCGTCCAGGTGAGAGCTCAGAAGTTATTCTTGTTATTCTTAACTTGGGAGAGATTGACGCCAAGGTAAGTGTTCTAGGCAAGCAGACTTTGTTAAAAGCCTTCTTGATCAGAAATCACCTTGTGCCTCTGTTGTAGGCCCAGCACAAGCATGCCCAGGGCGTGCCCCCTCCACCTGCTCTGTGCAGCGCATGCCCGTGCAGGGGTGGCACAGCTCGTGGGGACCGACTTGCCCAGTTTGAGTGTTGTACACTGTAAAATGCTAGATAGGGGTTTGGTGGACTTGTTCTTGTCCACGTTGCTGTCTGCAGCAGAGTGTTGCTTGGGGAAAGTGACTGCGGAGGGTACCTGTCGGTGTGGTCCATGGTGACCCGCGTTTCTATAAAGGGACAGTGCCTCTGGGCCCATTGAAGGTAATCATGTAAGTAGTTGTCTCTGAAACCTTTCACCTGACTGCCGGGTGGGTGATTGTCACTGCCTCTTCTGACTGGCCACATGTGATCCTGGTCCCGTGGTCTGTGTTTGCATGTGGCAGTGCCATCCCCGCTGCCTTCCTCATGACGGCTGTCTCTGCTGCATGCTCTCAGCGGCGCCATCCTGTGTGCTCAGTTGGTATTTCAAGCTGGGCCTGGGGCTCTGCTGACTCAGTTTACTGTTGCAGGACGCACCCCTGTCTGACTGCACGGAGACAATCGAAGGGCTCGAGCTCACAGAGCAGACCTTTAGTCCAGCTAAATCTCTCTCTTTTAGAAAGGTACTCACTGCCTGCCCTTAACTACCTGTCGGCACATGCTGCCTCCTCCCTGCCTGTCCCTCGCCCATCTGCTCCTGCTGGCTTCGTCCTGGTCACTGGCGTAGCATACACCGGTCTCATCATTTGTGAGACAGTACAGAGGCTCTGTTCTGCCTGCCCAAGTCTGTAGTTAAAGTATTTGGTATGAGGTTATTTTTACAATTTCCATCATTCTGGTGGTTCTGAGAAGTGGCAGTCCTAGCGAGGGGCGTTTCTGAAGTTCTGCATGTGACTGGTTTGGGCTGGCGGTGCTTCCAGGCGGCCTGCTCCCCTCCTTGCCTGCTCAGCTGTGACTGTAGATGTAATAATGACCGTGCTGTCGGGTGGTATGATCGAAGACCTCATTTCAGAGGCCTGGGAAGGAAAGCACAATAGTGTTTGTCAGCCCTTGTTGATGAAATGTGTTTCTTTTGACCTTTAAAAAAAACCTAGGTAACTTTTTTAATGTTGCAAGGGGGGAAAAGACTTGTGAAAACTTGAAACCCCAAATTGTAATTCTCCATGTACACACATACCTAGTGTTCAGTAGGTGGGAAATCCACCTGGTACAGTATGGCCAGGTAGGAGTCTGCTCTAAGCTTTGAGGCTGCTGGTGTGTAGCACCTGGTGCCAAGGGCAGGGGCAGACTGCAGGCTTAGGGTCTCAGAGGAACGGCTCAAGATCTGTCTCTCAGGGAACAAGCCTCCGGTGAGACGAGGTGCCATTTTACCCATGTCCCAGTAGGCAGAGAAGCAGACCTGCACCACAGTTTCTTTTTTCTTTTTTTTTAAAAATATATCTTTATTGATTTCAGAGAGAGAAAGGAGAGGGAGAGAGAGAGATAGAAACATCAATGATGAGTCATTGATGGAGCCTGCAACCTGGGCATGTGCCCTGACTGGGAATCGAAGCCCTATCGCGTGGATCCTAGGTCGACGCTCAACCGCTGAGCCACGCCTGGCCGGGCACACCACAGGTTCTTATCGCTGCCTGGAGTCCTCACTGATTACATTGTTTTCCATATTTATGTATTATTCAATGGGCTGTTTTCTCTTGTCCTTAACATGTACTTCCAGGGATCATTTTTGGAGGAGCTGCTCAGAGCGTGGGAGAGAGATGGCCTTCTACCCTTTCGGCTTGTTTTTCATGCATCCATCCTGTGTGATCTTGTTAGTCCCTCACTCTTTTATCTCAGGTGTGTGGAGGTGTGTTGAGTCTGTGAGCCACGGAGGCTGACCGAGTGGGCAGATGCGGACAGGCTCCCTGGCATTAGATTGTATGTAATGGTTTCTGTTTGCACCTTTGGGGCTGCTGCCTAGGAAGGCAGACTGGTTTGCTGTATTAAAGGCTGCTGTTCTGGCCAGTCCTGCATCCAGTCACAGTTCTGGATTTGCTCTGACCAGTGTGCTCAGACTTGGGTGTGCGTCACAGTCCCCTGTGAGAATGCTTCGTGGAGTGTAGACATGGGCCCCTCCCCGGATGGCTGTGGGATTGGGGTTCCTGGGCAGACCACGGCTTCCGCAAGTCCAAGCATGAAACTTAGACCCTGTGAGTGCCATGTCCGGGCGGGACCAGCAGAGGAGGCCACCGGGCACCGAGCCCAGCCAAGGAGGTGCCCCTGTGCATAGACTCCTGTGCCAGCCTCTGTTTTCTCTGCTGCTCTTTTTTGGGTGCTCACATTTGCACCCTTGGACTTCTTCCCCACAACAAAGCACATTCCGTTTTGATGACTCCTCTGATGTCCTTGACTGGGGTTGTCTGCACGTCTTTGTGTGTGGACCACGAAGCACAGGTCACGGTGCTCCTTCTGCAAAGTGGCGCTGTTCGCTGGCAAGTTGAACTCCTCGAGCAGGTTAAAAGGACTGTGTGTGGTAATGTCCTGAAAACACCCTCTTTCTGGTAAGGCAAGTGTGCAGAGCCTGGCTTCCCGATTGAGAACCTGAGGAATGGGTGTTTGGGACTAAGCAAGTTGGGGCTTTTCTGGAAGGACTTTCCTTTGATTCCGTCTCTCCTTTGTCTTCTGACAGCCACACCCCGTGCTCCAGTGCCCAAGGGGACAGGAATCCCAGCCAGGGCTCTCTTGATTCAGCATTGCATATGCCAGTGTGTGGCTGGAAGTCATTTTGGCCACCTTCTGGATTTGATTCCCAGTGAATTGAGTCGTTAGAGAGTAGGGTGTGAAGATTTACACTTAAACTGTGCAGCACAGGGAAGAACCCTGCTGCCTGGTGTGTGTAGCGCAAACTTCCTATTCTGCCGCACCTGGGAGCATTGGTGCTGAGCAACTAGTATGTGCGTGGCCCAGCCCTAAGAATGCAAATTCAGCCCTGGCCGGTGTGGTTCAGTGGTTGGTGCATCGGCCTGCGTGCGAGTTTGATCTGCTCAAGGAACGTGCCTGGGTTGCAGACTTGATACCCAGCACAGGTCATCTCTCACGTCAGTGTGTCTGACATCGATGTGTCTCCCACCCCTCCCCCCTTCTTTCCACTCTCTCTCAAAATCAGTGGGAAAAATTACCCTCGGGTGAGGACTGACAAACAAAACAAAAAGATAATGTAAATGTGTAGATTTTACAGATGGAAACCTGATGCTCAGGGAGGTCAGGTCACCAGCTTGGAGATGGGGCTGTCCTTCCACTCAGGCTGCCTCAGTCCCAAGCAGAGGAGTGACTGGGCATCTGCTGTGCTTAGAGCCCGTGGTGGGGGCTAGGCCTGAGGGACACAGCAAGAGCCTCCACGTCGGCTGCTGGAGGGAGCAGCCCCTCCACACCCTGACTCCCCAGCCAGGGTGACTTCCGACAGGGCCTTCCCTCTGCATCTCAGGCATCTCTCCTTTTCCTAACGCTAGCTTGGCCCTCGCCGAGGAGGGACCCCCTGCCAGTGGTGGTGGGAACCAGGTGTGTGACACCTTGAGGGCCAGGTGTCCTCGCTCAGGAAGGGCCTTGTTGTCCAAGGGGCATCTCTGGCAGTTAAGATGTTTCCTTCCTTTACTGACTTTGAACATTTAACTTAAATGGAAGAAAGTGTTTCTTTCAAGCCTCATATCACCTTCCCATTTCACTGGCAGTGATAGCAGGATGCATAGGCAGGCGCTGGCCAAATTGCCATAGATCTATAGTGTCAGTGCTCTGTGGGGCCTTAGCTATGGCAAGCCCAAGGATGGTAAGGCAGGCCTGTGGACAGGAAAGGGCTTGTCTCGGCCACAGGGCTACCGAGCAGCAGAGGCGGACTCGAGTCCCTGTCTTGGTAAGGCAGGGCTACTTCTGAATGAAAACCTGGTAGACTGGGGTCAGGCCTTGTCAGGAAGAGGGCTAACTTTGACCATCAGGTTATCTTGAATCTCAAGTCTCTGAGTACAGGTTGCTGATTCCAGCAGGCCTTTTCCCTCTGTTCCCTGGGTCTGTGTCACTGTCACTGATCATTCATGGCATGTTCTGGACACTCTGTACCCAGCTCATGGGACAGGGCCCTCAGCCTAGTCCCTGGCCTCGGTGTGGCCCTGTCTCCAGTATACATGCTGGGACCCTGTCTGCCTCTGAGGTTCGCGCTCACTGAGGAGAGTGCTGATGGACCCGGCCTGGCATCAGACTGTTTTTGGATTCTCCTGTTTTCAGTTTTTGGAAGGTCTCATTAAGTAATGGGCATGTCCGTGAGTTCAGGTTAATTTTCTCAAAGGTGACTATCTGAGCATTTGGGGGCTAACAGGCTGAGCGCGGGGCACAGAGTCGTGCTGGGGCAACAGAGTGTGCAGTGGGCTTCCCACCTCAGGGCTACCTGCCTGGCTCCCTCCCCCTTCCCGGCTGCCTGCCGCCTCCTGGCAGATGGGGTGTGGTCTGTGAGCCATCTTGGTGCCGCACAGTGCTTTGCTTTCTTTTCTCTTCTACAAATTCTGTTTTCCAAATTCCTCAAACAAATCCTGGTGTTTTGGGACATTTTTACTTCTCAGTGTCAAAAGAACAAACTTATCTGTGCTCTTGGAATGGAAGCAGAACTCTCAGCGTGCCTACCTGAGTGTTGTGATCTCTGACATTTTCTGCTGTGTGAGGAGGGTACTTGATGCACAAAACCCCCTTGCCCCCCCCCCCC